AGAACGGTGAGACGGGCAGCAAGGAAGAGGGTCGCACGACGGATAGTTGGGTTGTGCAGTTGGCCGAGTTCATGTCATAAGAGACTACATACCTGCCTGAGCTTTGGACGCGTATGTGTTTTGTGATGGTTGTGGGTGGGTGACGTGACCCACTGCCATGGCACCCACACATTCAATGAGCTCAGATGTGTAAGAGTCACACTCACAAATACACGGCCATCAAAGTCGCTCCACGCATTCAGCCGCCGAGCTTTCCCTCTCCACCTCTTCTTTCTATCTACAGCTACAGCTACAGCCGTTAGGAAGTAGCCTGGCCGCCATCCGCGCTGGATGGCGCCTTCCTTCACCACTCCATGAAGTATGAGTCACCTGCGACGTGACACGCAGACCGAACAAGAGACAAAGAGACTCGGCAAGAGGTCATCTCGTTGACCCGTGTTGAACAGTCCAGCCCCACTCACTCACTCACTCACCCACGCACTCACCGGTGTGCTGCTGGTCTGGTGCTGGGCGTGTCGCATTACCGCCTCCCCTGCCCCCGAATGCAAAACTCCACAGGTCGGCTGGAAGCCGAGAGGAATCCAGTGGGTCCTCCCAAGCCCGACCTTGCCGCATCTTCTTGCGGCAGGGCTCATAAGTCAGCTGGCCGTGTGCCTGCCTCCTGGTCATGGAGCACCTTCCCGGGTTTCCGTCAGCAATCTCGATACCGTCGAAACGTGCCTGACGCACGCCGGTGTGTGCTGTCGTGGACGTCAGCTCTGAGGGCGCTGCGCTCCGCGCTGTGCTCCACTCGGTATCTTCGCTCTGGCTGCGATGGCTCTGTGCGTCGTCAACATCCATCGGCATCAAGAGAGGTGACCGAGAGCGGGGCTCCATCTCAGGTTGGCGGTCGCGAACTTGCGGCGGCAACTGCGGCAAGGAGCCAGACAATGGGAGATGGAATGGCTGGCCTGCATCCAACACAGAGGAAACGCACAGGCGTGAACGACATTCATTGGCTGAGTTCGTCACACCGAGTGTACCACGCGTCTGACGATATAGCCGTTGCTGTGAGTCCTGGTGCGCTGACGCGTCAAACTGCGATGGATGACTCTGTCGGCACATCCCGATTAAGCAGACAGAACAGAGGGAGAGCCTTTTTCCGCAGAGAGAACGCAAGCTCAAAGGCGATCCATCTCCGCCGCCAAGGCGCTGTCGAGTGTGTTGATGTGTGTGTTGATACAAGAGTTCCACCAGACGAATAACCACAGTGATTTCAGTGCGATCATCCATGTGTTCACAGTAGTGACACGCCGGAGAGAGGGGGTCATTGAATGACAACTCCTCGACAGTGAGACTCGATGCACAAGTGTGAATGAGATCAATCGATTCAATAAACCAGGTCATCAACAAACCTGGTTCATTGAATCGCTGGATGGCATACACACTTGTGCATCCTCGAGACCACACCGGCGGCTGCACATGACAGTGAGACGAGGGAGGGACAACTGACTCTCCGACCGAGCACACGAAGAGACAACGGGCCACGAGTGGATGGGCATAATGTATTCCCAACACACCAGCCTGCGACAGCATCGCAGAATGCAGCAGCAGCACACATACATACATACACGCATACAGCGAATGAATGAATGACCTACCACCTCTCTCTCGATCGAAAAACTAGCACGCCTCATCTGTCTCTCTGTCTGTCATGAGTCGGCCTGACTGACTGACGCTGACTGACTCCGCATGGACCAATGCACTCGTGTGCATACACACATACACGCAAAGATGGGGCTGAAAAATTCTCGCACAGCGCCCCCCCCCAGCAGAGCACAGCGTGCACACACACCACACCTCACTGCACAAATACGCCCCGAGTCAGATACGCACGTCAGTCAGTCGAGAGCCGAGAAGCTGTCCGAGAACCTCTGTGAGGGCGGGGTGTCCTTGCCCGGAGTGATCTCGACGCCAAGCTCCTCGCCAAGCTTCTTCAGGTCGGACGTGATCTGAGCAACACACACATAAGCACCTGTCACATGCTGGCGTTGCACTGCATGCAGCATGTTTGTGTGTCTACCTACCTGTGACACGTCAGCGTTCTTGGGCACCAGCACCGACACGGACGCCTCGAAAATCTAAGGACAGACAGGCCGACACCCATCACATGCACTGCAGTCACCGACGCAACGCAATCTATGATGTTGTGTTGTTATGCCTACGTCATATCCAATGTGCCCCCCTGGAAGGATCTGTGTCTTGAGGTCCTGCACGTTCAGGCTGGCCTCTGAGAGGGATGGAGAGGGGGGCAGGGCAGGCACAAGGGTGAGTGAGGGAGTGCGAGGGGCATATATTATGGGTGTGGTGTATGTGATGGCGTGCGGTCGGTGCTGCTTTGTTTGCCCACGTGTGAGGTATCCCGTGATGTTGTCGACGAGCTGCACGTCATCGGGGCCAAACACCTTGTAGGTCTGCACCAACTGACCTGCACACACACACGCACACATCGACACAGACAGGGCAAGGTACTTACTGGTGGTGTGTTCCGTTCCACCCCTCCCTCCCTTCTCCCTCCGTGTGTGCATTCAGTCAGTGTGCACATCACACATCACACATCAATCACATCATGCCATTGCAGGCCAGGCACCTCACCTCCGAATGCGCTGTATCCGGGGTCCTGGGTCTCTTTCAGGTTGCACATGTACTCTGGCGAGGGAAACGCGGCCTTGAGCTTCTTCTCAAACTCATCCACTCGGTCCGCGTGCACACGAATGGCAGCCATGAGAGCAAAGTCGGTCCCCAACCTTATAGCACGAGTCGTACCGATGTTTCCATCTGCAGACAGACAGACAGACAGGCCTCGTTGCGGATTGGGTGTGCAGACTTGACTGACTGACCACATGGCGTGACAACGTCGTGTGCGAAGCGATGGACCACACCAGGCTTGTTCTCGCCAGATACACACACCTGACATGACAGACAACCAGCACAGGCACGGCACGGCACGCCCTCATCCGTTCACTCATTCACACAGCCCAGACCAGGAAGCGGAGCATACCTACCACGAGATCTGTGAATTTGGTCCCCACAAAGGAGCCATGTGATAGACACCTCACGTGTGGGGCAACAGCATGGCTGCTGGGTGACGGCAGGCCTCCCGCTCTCCTTCCCAGCGAGCCCGCGAGGCTCCGCGAGATGTGCCGCAGAGCCATCCCCACTCTCGACTGCAGATCTCCTCTGGAAACACTCGCCGTTCGAAGATCGGCAGCGCTGGCAGCCTTTCTGGCAAAGCTCTGAAGCGACGGTTTCACGAGTGCCCTGGAAAGCTCGCAGGAAGAAGGTTTTCAGGAGATGTATCAGTCGGTGGACAAGAAGCAGAGGATACTGTACGAGCGGTCATGCACCGACTGCTTCTGCTGCCTCCTCTTCACCGCCTTTCTCGGCGGCATGATATTCGTGGGTCAGCGGATGCATGGATGGAACACATGGATGGATGTTAGCGTTGATATGGGCGGATGCATTGCAATTGCTGCTGTGTGATGCCTGCCTGCACTGAATGTACTGTGTCCACTACCAGGGGTGATAGCGCTCCAGGAGGGAAACCCGCACCGCTTATATCGAGGATACAACTACAATGGTAGGCGGAACGAACGAAGCCACACAGACGCATTGCAAACCCGTGGCTGCATGTGTGTGGCAGGTCGGCTGTGCGGTGAGGGCACCCTGGAGGGCCGCCCGCTGCTGTTTTGGCCCATCGCCCCGCTGGAGGTCCTCGCCAACATCACCACCACCGAGAAGTTCGTCCGGCTTGACGTTGTCAACTCCACGTCACCGCCAGACTACACACCAGGTCCTTTGATTTGACCAGCAGACCATACATACTGCCGGCAGCCGACATCCATATGGATGCACTCACTATGCATCCGTGTCACATATTGCTGCTGCATTGCATTCATTGCCGCAGGCACTGTGTTGGGCACTTACGCCGGTTTCATTGACCCGAGCACCCCCATCTGCGTCAAGAAGTGCCCCTCTGCGTTGAATGTGGTCAACAACGACACGGTGAGGTATCCGATGCGGCACACGACGACCGGCGAGGTGGCTGAGACCGATCCCAGCAGAGACACCGTGTCCGAGACCACCACACTCACATACGTCGACACACCGGTCTATGCCACCACCAAGCTCATGCACGCTTACTGCCTCCCCACAAACGCCACGGTGGCCAAAGATCTCATCGCTAGGATCGGACTCGACTCACACACGTACCCACACACACATGGATGGATGGATGGAGGGATGGATGGATCGGCCCATGGAACATGTACCTTCCTTGGCGTGTGTGGTGTGCAGTCAGCAGTTCCAGCGCGCGATAGGCTCTCTGGAGGAGGGCTGGCCGTTCGTGCTGATCGGGGCCGTGTGTGCGCTGCTGGGCGGCTTCTTGTACCTCCTCCTGCTGTCCTGCTGTGCGGCCCCGATGGTGTGGATCGCCACCGTAATGATCCCAGTCTCCATGCTCGGTATATATGGAGAGAGAAGGAGAGAGGAGGGAGGGGAGGGGAACACAACAAATGGTGATTCATTTCTGAGTCGCTCGCGTCCTGCCTCCTGGCGTGTTTTGTCAGGTATGGGGGCCTACCTGACTTACAGCGGGTTTGTGGAGCAGAGCGATTACCTCGTCAACACATTCGGGGAGGACTCCAGCGAGTGGACCAAGTGGGTGGGCGTTGCGCTGATGGTGGCGGGTGTGCTGTTCAGCATGCTCATATGCTGCGCATGCGACTCCATCAACATCGCCATCGGTGTCATCGAAGCGGCCGTGGAGTGTCTCTTCGATATCCCCAAGATGCTCACGACGCCCCTCTTTGGGTTCGTCTCCCAAGGGCTGGCCTACCTCATGCTGTGCGTGGGACTCGTCTACATCGTGTCCAGGTAGCTAGGGGCAAGAGGGAGGGAGGGAGGGAGGGAGGGAGA